CCCATGAGAGTTTGTCAGAAGCAGAAGCGGTCTTCAAACCAAAGGCCACTGCACCGGAGTGGGTGGGGAATAAGAAATGTCGCTCAGGGGCAGGTGATCGTGTTTGACTGAGGTCAAGCTGGACCTACTCCAGTCTCTGCAGCTCAGTTCTGTACTTAAGCCACTGGAAAGAGCTAATCCAGTTAATCATCCCACTGTATTGCTGGAATGGAGAAGAGAATTATCCTCCCTAATGCTGGAAAGGGACATGCTGAGATGGCTGCTCTCCAGCAGGGGTTTCTGACCGGGTGCAGCAGATTTCAGAGAAGCAGCTCCTCTCCAGTTACGGGAACCAGAGTTACAAATTTTGTTTTACCAGCACTCTTCATTCTCACAAACAGTTTATCTGATTGCAAATTACCAGACAGATGAGTTAACGGCTGCTAACAGCAACGGCCATCCCCTTCAAGACATGCCCATCACAAGGGTGGGAAAACTTTTTGGCCTGAGGGCCACATCGGGGAATAGAAATTATATGGCAGGCCATGAATGCTCACAAAATTGGGGTTGGGGTGTGGGAGGGGGTGAGGGCTCTGGTTATGGGTGCAGGCTCTAAGGTGGGCTGGGAATGAGAGGTTTGGGGTGCAGGGTGCGCCGTGCTGGGATTGAGGGGTTTGGAGAGCAGGAGCGGGATCAGGGCTGGGGTAGGGGTTTGGGGAGAGGCTCAGGGTGCAGACCCTGAGTGGCGCTTACCTTAAGCAGCTCCCGGAAGCAGTGGCATGTCCTTTCTCTGGCTCCTATGCGTGGAGAGGCCCCTGATTCTGGGAGCTACGTGGTACGGCCCCCGATCTGGCACCCTGGCTGGAGCCCGGAGTGGGCCCCCCCCCAACGTGGCACCCCAGTGGGAGCTCGTGGGCTGGCTTAAAACAGCTCACGGGCTGGATCCAGCCCATAGGCTAGTTTGCCCACCCTGGCCTATCAAAAGGATCTGTATTCCTGTTCTCTTGATGTATGAGAGGGAAGGGAAGGATGGCAACCCAGAGAACCCCACCATCAGAAAGAAAATCAGCCTAGGAAATCTCAAAGGAAAGAGACAAGATGCTCTGGCACCTATATGTTTCATGTATGCGTGGTGTGTATGCAGTCTGCACATAAGGATGGACTTGGTCTTACGTTTAAATAGTGCCTTTTCGCCAGGAGCATGTCACATGTTCACTGCCCATAAGCGGAATAAGCACCATCTTGACTGACATTCCAGGGACCTCCAGAGCTAAAAGCCTGAGTGACTCCAGCTTGCACTAAAGAGGACAGGCTCCATAGCTGGGGCTGTAGCAGACGCCTATCCCTGCAGATCGGGCACAGCGTGGTGTCCACACAGCAGCCACCTTCAGCATTTGAATAACACTGGTCGAACCAGCTGTTGGCAGCACACAGGAGAAGTGCTTTGACTCTGCTCTGCTGAAGCCATGTAATCTACAGTGATTTCTCCCTCTTGGGGACAGGAAGCCACAAACGTTGCAGCTGCAGCAGTTCAGCTGGGCCTGCTAACTCCATCCCATAATGCAGTGGCTGGTTACGAGATCATGTCCTTTGCAGCAATTATGTGCACTAGGGGCCAGTACTTTGGGGGTCCCAGAAAGCACTGTTAGGGGTGCTGTGCCTGGACGATGTCAAAAACACTTATGCAAGGACAAGTGAGACTACTAGCCATTTCATCCCACGGATGTCCTTGCAACCACTTCCTAGCTCAGTGTAGGCACCTTCTGAGTTGCAACCACTTCTGGGGTAAAACTCAGCATCTGTTTAACAGCATACAATGAACCATTAAACAGCTAGGTTTGGGTGAGACAGGGATTTCCTTTCCAACTGAAAATGCAGGGGGGAAGCTGAAGTAGGCAGAGAGAAAATGGACCAGGATGTGGGTTAACAGCCCTCACTCTTGTGAAAAATGCTACGAGATCCCTTAAAAATCCAGACAGCCAGACACTAGTTTTACATCTCATCCCCTCTGCCCATTCCCACTGACATACAATTGGGCCAGGACCTTCTGCCCAGTGGCTGGATAAGCACACACTCTCTCCAGTGACCTTGCAAGTGGAGGTTAATGCTAGTTCATTGATCAGACGGTGGAGACGCAACTGGGTGCAGGAGGGCTGAGTTCTTCCCTTACCATTTAAAAGGCTGCTTGTAACTATTCAATGACACTGCAAACCTCCCTCGCAGTTTCACAAGGACTCCCAATAGCATCTGCTTTCACTCCCGGCTCTGGAGAGCCAAACCTTTTTAGCCAGAGACAAGTGTTTTTCATTTGCAAGGGCCAGCAATGAACCCCAAGGGTGCAGTGCCTGGCAAAGAGTGTATGTCCTCCCTAACAGCACAGGAGAGAAACCCCTTCCTCCTGCAAGGTGGATAGGTCCATCTCAGTCTGCATCACCCACAGGTCTCGGTCCTTGTTTCAGGGCTGCACAGCGGGATCATTCCAATGAGAGTTTCAGTTGGGTGCACACATTGCAACAGCCTGGGAGGAACTGCGGTGAGGAAACCCTTCTTTTGTAACCCTCCCCTCTTGCTACTATCCCAGACGTTCAGGGGGGAGATGCCTTAGCAGCATTGTTTCCTCTCAAGTTCATTACACTGCTCAGCTTTAGGGGCCAGCTCTCTCCATCTCCACTGTCAGACTGACTGATCCCTTGCTACAGATAATGTTCTCCTAAATGGCCAACTGGAGCCTGAGACCATAGGTACACTATGGATTTCTGCTGGAACAGTGAGGGCAGTCAGGGATGTGATGAGGTGTGATCCCTGATGGGCATAGCTGTGCCAGCAAAAGCCCCTAGTGTAGACTCAGTTATAAGCTGTGCTTTTACTGGTATAGCTTGTTTTGCTTGTGGAGGTGATTTTGCTAGACTGGAGCATCCACACTAGAAGCACTTTGTAGGTATAGTATATTGGTATTCTTACACTAGTAACACTTCGAGCGTAGACACTCCCCGAGTCTGCCAGCCTTCAGGAGTTTCAACCAAGTATTTGCTTCCTGTTGGGCTTAGACGATAGAGGGTTTCTCCCCTGCAACACGCTGGACTGGAATGATCGGTCGGACAGCTTTATTACCCCCTACATAGGCAGAATCTATTGGCGTTCTGCTTTGCAGTATCTGCAATATGCCCAGAAGCCAGTGCACCATAATTGAATATGGAAGAAATATAGAGGCAAACTGATTTTGGAAAGGTTTCAGAGGAACAGCCGTGTTAGTCTGTATTCGCAAAAAGAAAAGGAGTACTTGTGGCACCTTAGAGACTAACCAATTTATTTGAGCATGAGCTTTCGTGAGCTACAGCTCACTTCATCAGATAGCTCACGAAAGCTCATGCTCAAATAAATTGGTTAGTCTCTAAGGTGCCACAAGTACTCCTTGATTTTGGAAACTGTTTTCATCTTCGCGTTGAGGTGCCATGTGATAGGCAATAAAGCTTGTGATTGCAAAAGCAAGATCTGATGTAGCACAGCTCACAGGAGGTGCAAGAAGCTGTGGCATAAAACACAGACACCCATTTTCTCTCCATGAGCGGACAGCACCTTTCACTGGGTTCTTGCAGAGGTCAAGTAACAAAACTCGCAGAAATCTCTTCTCTCTGCATGGGCAGAGAGGGTAACTTAAGAGTTTAGATAGTCCTTGTATCGGCTTCACCTTCCTTTGGAAGGTTCAAAAAATGCAATCCATCAAAATTGGTTTGAAAAGAAACACACAATGAAATAGAAATTCTTCAGTCATAGGCCAGCCACAATGCTGTGGTTTTCTCATTAAAAAAAGACTCCTAAATTAGAAACATGGAAAGCAGCAGCTTAAATATTTGAGGGACAGTTTTTTTTAAACTCAAAAAGTTTGAGCTAGTCATTGCATTTATGCACAAGAGCCTGGTTTTGCAGAGCTTTTCGGAAACATGGCTCATATGGGGGACACAAGTACTTTAAATAAAGAATTTGACCTACTTTAAAATTATGATCACAGTGGTCAATACCCTCTAAACACACCTGCACCTTACAGCTGACCCTGCTCAGGGTTGCAAGGGAAGGTGCACGAACCCAGATGTGTATGCATGGAAGGGGCGAGGTCCTTGCTGGTCCTGAGCTTAGGGATCAGTTTAATCCTAGGCATGTGATCTCTCCATCCAGCCCGGAGTTCATTCAGGCAGCCTTTGCCATTGCATCTGGGCTCCTCCCAAAAGTAAGAGTGTGACGATGATATTAGACACTGTTATAAAGTATCTGATTTTACTGTATTTCTACCCAGAGATTGCACTGGTTACACACACGTAATTGTCCTTCCCCCACTCCCAAAATCCGGTAGCATGAATTTCGCATGAACTTTCTGGGACAGTGATTTTTGAATATGTATCGTCTGCTAGGGAAGATAAAACCTCCAGCACGTTCACATGTAGCTTGATCTCTGCCCTTCCTGATTCTTACCATGGATTTATGAGCTTCTTGATATTTTGCATCTCAGCTACCCTGTTCAATTTCTCTGAACAATTTCCACCACCAAAGCACAGATACTTAGCCAGACTCATGCAAACCACTCAAGAAAACCCAGGTCAAGAGACTGGTAGAGCACCCCAAAGAGAATGGCAATGGAAAGGTCTGCTAAAATATACTGGCCAATACAGAGTAAAATACAGAGTAAGTATGAGCAACACCTTCAAGGGCCTATTCAGCACTTTCTGAAAATTAGACCCCCTTCCAGGCATCTCCAACTGGGATCCCAAAGTCACTTTTGAAATCTGGGCCACCTGGGTGTGCCCCAAACTAGAGCGTGTTGCATCAAATAGCAGAGCCCTCTGAAAGAGGGTTTTAAAGCAGCATTGAATGCATCCAAGGTAAATGAGATGCGATGGTTGAGTGACCTGAGTCGTCAGAGAAAACTGAACAGATCAACAAAAGTCACTTTACCCTTTTCTCCTTTAAAGAGAACCCAGTGCTAAAAACAATTCTCAGTAAATGTAAGTAGCAGCTTGTCTTCCTACCTCTTGGCTTGGTTATCCTGCCGGTGGGCCCACAGCCTTTCCTCACTCTTATCTTGATCAGTGGGCTGGAAATACATGAAAAGTTGAAAAAATGATTTCAACATGAGTCTCACTCACTTCTCCTTTTAACACGCGGGGCCAGCTAGGGAGGAGGCTGGGTTGAATGACTATACAAAACTCTGCCCTGCCCGCTACTATTTGACAAGTCATAAGGAAAAACCCAAGAGGGCTACAGCATAAAAACAGAAAGCAATTTCATCTTGCAATCATAACATACCCTTCTCCTCCTCTTCAGATTCTCTGAAATACTGCTGCTGTCCTTGGGCTCAAAGTCCCAGATATTGCATCACCTGATGCACCCTCCCAGCATCAGTCTCTCCAGGAGTGTATGTTCAGTGCATTCTGCTGGCTGCCACTCCTTGCCTTGAATGGGATGCAAATCAAATTCCTTTCTCTTCCACAACGCACCCCCTCTCTGGGCTGCTGTTAGCTACACACACAGTCAAGAGGAGTAGGAGCACAAAGATTATTGGTATCCTGCCTAGAAATATGAGAAAGCCTTCCGTCCTGAGGGATCCCCAAACTGCTTCAACTATAGCAATGCAAAAAGAAAAGGAGTACTTGTGGCACCTTAGAGACTAACCAATTTATTTGAGCATGAGCTTTCGTGAGCTACAGCTCACTTCATCAGATGTTTACCGTGGAAACTGCAGCAGACTTTATATACACTCATGTATATAAAGTCTGCTGCAGTTTCCACGGTAAACATCTGATGAAGTGAGCTGTAGCTCACGAAAGCTCATGCTCAAATAAATTGGTTAGTCTCTAAGGTGCCACAAGTACTCCTTTTCTTTTTGCGAATACAGACTAACACGGCTGTTCCTCTGAAACCTATAGCAATGCAGAAAAGCAGCCACCTCTGGGCTGGATGACAAGAAACCCAGAACAGTATGTTGCCCCACACTTAGGGAATTTTGGACACCAGGGCAAACACCTACTCTTACAAGAAGTGCCAGGGACTTTTAATGCCAATGCAGGGCAGACAGGAGCTTTGTTTAAGCTCTCATCCTAAGAATACAGTGCCACACATTTTCACATATACAGGGAACCACGGTGCCGGGTGCATAGTTTTTACATTAAATGCTCCCAATCAAAAGACAACATGCGATCACGTCTCCTCTGAGCCACAGAGATGCTGCGTTCCTGAAGATACGGGAATGGTTTTTCCTGAACAAATTATGTAACTAAGGAGTTTCTCTCTTTGCCCTTTCCAACAACATGAATTTGATTGTGCCATTTATGCCATAGATCAGCTGCACTTGGGCGCCTAGTATCGCACTGGACACGGACCCACTCCATAACCTCTGTACCAGGTCCGATTCCACGACCAGTTCAGAAATTCTTAGAGGTTATCACAATAACCTTTTTGGCATGGCACAACATGCCAGGGAACAAGCTGTTCGAGCTTGGGCTGCATTACCTGGTAGGTCAGGACAGGATGTTCCACCACTAAGTGTCCTCCTCAGGACTGCATGTTCCCCGGGCAATGAAGGGGTAAAACCCTTCCATCCTGAACATTATCCCAGCATTCCTCTGGAGAGAAGGGGGGGTTGAGACAAGCCCAACACAGCAATGATTAAAGAATTAATGGCGAGACCAGTGGTTTCTGACTCAGACCTTGCCTGATTTTTCCTTCCTCCTGCTAATTCTCCAGTTACTGCCCTGGATAATTTAGCCATGCTTCTTTTTAATTAGATTTAACGAGCTTTCAGTGGCCTCTGGCTTATGGAGGATGTTGTCCAGTTGGACATTTGTTCTGTTTGCAGTTCTCCTCAGAAACTTAAAATAACATTTTCTCTCTACTAATTTAATCTTTAATACATGTGGCAAAGTTATTTTTTCCCCTCCCTGTGCATTTCCCATTAAGATGAATTCAGCCTCAGTACCCTTTGTTTATTCACTTCCATATATTTGCAGTAGCACCATCCCTAACAGAACAGCTCAGGGAACCAGTCATTGTTTCACTGCTATTGGAGGGGCTGGAAAGGAGGCTTCAGAGTTCATAGCCATTCCCTCACCAATTTCACACCATTCTAGAGCCCATCTTTAGACCTCAAAACACATCAGCGTCCCCTTAAGACCAAGTCAGATGCTTCTGAGAAAGGCAAGGTCAAGTGGTTTGAGCTCACATCTGGGATCCAGACTCAGCATGTTGCCTGGGCAACCAGGTATTTTACGTATTAATGTACCCAACATGCCTACTATATGTGCCCAGGCACCATACATAAGATTATTGACCAGCTTCAATATTGAGAGACTCACCCCACAATCACCTCTTCCCCACACATGAGAGCCTGAGAAAAAGAATGGGCCCTGAAGAGCAGCAGACTTGGGCCAGTGGAGGAAGCACATTTCAGAGCCGAGACCTTACCAGTGGGCACTGTGGGTGACCACCCAGGGCAATGTGGTCAAGAGGCAAGGAACAGGGCAGGCCTGGGGTGCAAAGACATGGAAGGGAGCTCAGGTCAATGGGGGGCTGCGGGGAAGGCAGTGGGACCTGGGGACAATGGGTTGGGAGTCCAGGGAGACAGCAGATGCTAGGAGCGATGGGGAGAACTCGGGGAGGCAGCGGGGCCAGGAGCACCAAAATACAAGTTCGTCCAGCGCACCATTTTCCCCAAGGCCGGCCCTATCAGCAGTCTCTGGATATAGAGATCAAGACACAGTGGGTATGTCTACACTGGAATAAAACACCCATGGCTGGCCCGGGTCAGAAAAGTCGGGCTTGCGTGGCTTGGGCTGTGGGGTTATAAATTGCGGTGCAGATGCCTAGACTCAGGCTGGAGCCTGGCATCTTCCCCCTTCGCGGGGTCCCACAGTCCAGGCTCCAGCCTGAGCCCTGACGTCTACACTGCAATTTTTAGCTCGGCAGCCCAAGGTCTATGAGCCCAACTCAGCTGACACATGCTCTGAGACTTGGTGCCACAGGCTTTTTATCACAGTATAGACATATCCTCAGCCAGCCAGAACCCAGGCCTTACAGGGCTACCTGCACTGACCCACAGGAGAGAGTCTAAAGTTATCTTTGCATGGCATAAAGGGAAATTTTAGAAAGGTGGGGTTTTCCATACCAGATCATAGCTGGGAAAGGGCCAATACCTGTTGCTCAAGAGGGTAGCAATTCCTGCTGCTGCTTCAGTGAGAGCATCCTATTGCACAAGTGGCCAATTACTCAATGCTGCCCATGGAGATGGAGGTGGGTAGGGCGGAGTTCCTTCCTGACCCCCCCTCTCCCCAACGATCAGTTACACCCTAAAGCATGAGATTTGATCACCCCATTGGCTGGTCTAACTATACATCATTGCTCATACAATTTGTTAGAATACAGATATTCAGGCCTGTCTGTAAAGGCCTATACTCGAAGAATTTAGGTGTATTCTTATCATTTAGCTAGTTCTAGAGGTATAAAAGAAAGAATCAAAATCACTGTCGGCCGGTGTAAGCACCTTCTCTTACTGTGACAGCCTGAGGCCCTGTGCTTAGGCTAAGGCCTCTGGATAAGCAGCAGAGGCAGCCATAAGCTGGGAAGCGACCAGTCACATCTTCACATTCCAAACTGGTCACATTGAAATAAGGTGCTTTTGGGTTGTTAGGAATACAATCCTGTCCTGTTTCAGAGTAACAGTCGTGTTAGTCTGTATTCGCAAAAAGAAAAGGAGTACTTGTGACACCTCAGAGACTAACCAATTTATTTGAGCATAAGTTTTCGTGAGCTACAGCTCACTTCATCGGATGCACGGATGTAGCTCACGAAAGCTTATGCTCAAATAAATTGGTTAGTCTCTAAGGTACCACAAGTACTCCTTTTCTTTTTGCAAATTCTGTCCTGATAATGCCTATCACCTCCAGAGAAAGAGAAGTGCCTAGAAGATGTAAAAGAAAACTTAGTTTGATAGCATCCTGTCTGGCAAGAACTCACTTATCAATAGCTGGGATCTGAAATCCGATGAAGTGAGCTGTAGCTCACGAAAACTTATGCTCAAATAAATTTGTTAGTCTCTAAGGAGCCACAAGTACTCCTTTTCTTTTTGTCTCATTTCTTTGTTGTTCTATCACTGTAGTCCCCATTTCTCTATTGTTTGTCTGAATAATCTCTGTCTGATTCTGTGATTGTTTCTGTCTGCTATATAATTAAGTTTGCTGGGTGTAAACTAATTAAGGTGGTAGGATATAATTGGTTAAATAATCATGTTACAATATGTTAGGATTGGTTAGTTAAATTTCAGTAAAATGACTGGTTAAGGTACAGCTAAGCAGAACTCAAGTTTTACTATATAGTCTGCAGCCAATCAGGAAGAAAGAGGGGGGGAATGGGAACAGGGAATGGGGCTGGGGAAACTGGAATCATGTTTGGCTAAGAGGGTGAATGGGAACAGGGACACAGGTGTAAGGCTCTGTGGTGTCAGAGCTGGGAAGGGGGACACTGAGGAAGGAAACTGGAATCATGCTTGCTGGAAGTTCACCCCAATAAACATCGAATTGTTTGCACCTTTGGACTTCGGGTATTGTTGCTCTCTGTTCATGCAAGAAGGACCAAGGAAGTAAGCGGATGAAGGAATAAGCCCCTAACACAATTATCCAGCCCTTTTTCACATCCACCTATTAGCAGCAGCAGACATATTTAACCATATGACCTGCCACAGCAGCAAACAGATAGCATCAGAGCAAACAGAACTCTAATACCAGCTTCGAGTTTAATCCCATGATCAGCCCAATGTAACATAACTGACTCACTCTAGTGAACGGAGCCATGAGCATTGCCTAGCATGACAGCAACAGGAATGCAGCCGATGAAGCGAGCTGTAGCTCACGAAAGCTCATGCTCAAATAAATTGGTTAGTCTCTCAGGTGCCACAAGTACTCCTTTTCTTTTTGCGAATACAGACTGACACGGCTGCTACTCTGAAACCAGCAACAGGAGTGTTATTTGCCCCGCCCCGCACAGACAGTTCATAGGTCTATATGCTCCTCTATATGCACCCCCCCAACTTTAAAGGATATCATATAATCACATACAATGTTCTATATGCTGACACAATTTTTTTCCCCTGAAATAATGCCCCTGGACTGCAAGCCGGACGACAATTTACAAAGCGGCCCTCCGGTTTCACATCCCCTCTTTTGAAAGCTTATGTGCATCTAGCCATTTCAAACCCACACCCCAGCATATCAGCCTCCTTCCACAGATTCAATCCAAGCCTCAAGCCTGGGAACTAGCCCTCAGTCCCAGTCAATTTTAACAAACACACCAACGCCCGCCCATTATCTCAAGCCCACACATGTATGTGCATGACACAAACCATTTTCCAACTGCTCTCTCTCTCTCAGGAAACTCAAAACATGCATCCAAACCACCAAACCCATTTACCTGAGGGGATCAGGAGAGATTCACTCACAGGGACACTCCCTGCAATACCTGCCACTGAAATATTTCAGGCTGAACTTTGCCCCTTGCTGTCCCCATTTGCATTTACTAAGAGAGCCTGCTTCCCAGGCTGTGGCTGCACAGGCCAGACCACCTCGATCACCAGGGACAAGATCAATTGCTTTTTTCCATTAGTTACTGATTATAGGAAGGCAGGAAGCAACCCTGCAGGCACTGGAAGGAAAACTGCATGCTGGATATGAATGGGGTAGCTGGCGAGCCAGGCTTGTTCCACTGCAATCCCAGAGACAGAGTTACATGACTCAGCTGCTTCATCTGGAAGTAAATTAAATTAATGCAAAACGCAGATTTTATTACGATGAGTTCTGCTCATAGGATAACAACAGTGCATTTATTACGGTCTCAGCAGGACTGTGCACATGCTGGGATTGGTCTGCCTTGCTTCCAGTGTTCCACTTTCTGAACAAAAACAAATGCCAGCATTTCAAACTGAGGGCCTGATCCAACTCCTGCGGGCATCTGTCAGAGTTGGAATGGACCCTAAAGTAAAAGCATCAGCACTTACCAGAACCACTCAAATAGCAAGTGAGAACAGCAGTTCAGCCAGTTAGTTTCCCCATTCTCAATAACTGGAAGGTTTGTCTAGTACCTGGAATTCTTGTAGTAGCAGTTTTCATCAGGTGATTACAAAGCATTTTAGAAACATTAATTAAGCTTCACTACACCCAGTGAGGCAGGGAAAATATCCCCATATTAAAGATAGGGAAACTGAGGCAAAGAGATTACGTGATTTACCCAATCTCAAATAGAGGATAAACAATAGAGCCAGGTGAAGAACTCCTGACTTCTGGTCCGGTGCGCTAACCACTGATGCCTCTGTTATTGCTATCGTCCCATTAGCACTTACAGACTTCAGGATCCAATAAGCTCCTAAAGTCTGTGGGGGGTTTTAAAAACCTTTTTATTGGTTCAGTAGGGCCAAAACCACCACATACAATACAAGACTGTCCAAATGACACATCACAATGGTATGATTTTAGGATCACAGGATGTCGACTTAGTGCTAGTTTAGAACTAATTAAAGATCCAACATGCTGAAACTAGATCTGGAGACATTAATTAATGCCATTTCCTAGCCCTCTGCTCTCACTTCCAAGCGGAGGCAGTGCTTCCACACCACTTATCTCTACATCAGGTTCTTAACAATAAGACGAAACTTCTCCCTAGAGCTTTTTATCTGCAGATACCAAAGCGCTTTCCAAAGGAAAGTAAGACCATTGCCCCCAATTTCCAGATGGGGTAACAAATACAGAGACGAAGTGTCTCACTCAAGGTCACGCAATAGCTCAGTGGCAGAATCAGGAAAAGAAAATCCAGGTCTCCTAACTCCCAGTTTAGAGCCCCATCCACTAGACCACCCTGTCTCCCGCAGGCAGCTGCAAGGGTTCTTCTTGTGCCAGAATACTCAACATGGCTTCTCAGTAGCTCAATGGGGTTTGTAGATTTGGTGGCTACTTGGGTCGGGGACAGGGAGATTTATCAGTCTGCTGAGTTAGCAGCCATTTTAGAGCAAAGGGCTCTATCACTGGGTCTGTACAGTGTTCTCTATTTGTTCTACTCCTAGTGTGTAGAGACCAGGCTCTATTTCTATGTGGATTTCACTACAGAATCTGATGGATTCTGATTAAATCTGCCCCCAGTTAAACCCAGGCAGCTCCATTGAATTAAATATCCTGGTCCAAGCCTTGATCATCTCACGGCTCAGCTATTGCATCCTCTACATCTTGGGCCTTCCTCACACATGCTTCACAGCTCCCCAATCTATTCAAAACTGCTGCAAAAATCTTCTCGGCTATGACCATGATCCACCCCCCTCCCCGCTCCATAAATCCTTTCACTCACACCCTATTGCCCCTTCAATCAGATTCACATCTGTGCGAGGGCATGGTGAGAGGGAAGCGTATTTGTTCTCCAACCTATTGCAAGAGGAACTGCAACAAAAAGGGTTAGGGACCACTGATTTAGACAACTGATTTCAATTCTTCAGATTGAAAACGTTTGTCCGGTCGCAACTCGCTCTGGCCCCCTGGAGCGTATCCAGTTGTTAGCAGACAGGACTCTCTACCTGCTTATCTCAGAACCTCCACTGGACTGGACTGGGAAGGAGACACCTTCCCGCTCAGTTTTCAGATGTGAGCGCCTTTAGTGAGCTGGCAAAGGGCCCAAGGGAAGACACACTCACTTTCAGCACCGGATCCAGTTGTCAGCAGAGCCTCGTGTCCGTATTTCTTCTCTGGGGCACATCCAGCAGAGGCAGGATTAATCAGGGCTGTGGAGTCACACCGTATGTACCAGAGCTACAGGGAAAGGCCCAGGGGGCAGGAGCACAGGCAGCGCTGTACCCAACCATAAATTCCTTGGGATTTTCTGTGCTTGGGCAAAAGGAAATCACGGAAGGACATAAAAACCAAGTGTAGGATCCCTGCAGTACAAAGCACTCTGCTAGAGCCATGGGAAGTGTTTTAGGGCATCTCCAAGGCTACACTCCGGGAAGCTAGCAGAAACTATTGCTGGCTTTGAAATTACTCATGACAAATGTAATCCATAAAACAGGATTTACCAGGATCTCATTGTGCTGCAAGATTCCCTTTCGTCTTGTGTCTCACTCCTCCCCATCTTCATCTCATTAGGGAAAAACCCGACAGCTAAGCAACCTCTGGTTCAAATTACATGTATAATACAGCCTGGTAGGCTGCCAAAGCTGAGTGTACAGTAGCTAGAGACTTGGGTTTGGAAGATGGTCATGTCAGTGGGTGGGTGAATATCAGGTGTGTTAAAGTGGCTTGTTACAGCTCATGGAAGGAAGGAAGAGGAGTAGGGCTGAGGCTGCTGGTTTCCTGCTATGGACCAGATCCTGAATGCCCTCAACTCCCATTCACTTCAGTGGGAGCTGGAGGTGTTCACCATCTCACAGCATTTGGCCTAAGTGAGCACACTGGTTCTTCAAGCTGGAGCTGACTGTAAGTCACTGCATCCTAGAGAACGAAGGGGTGAAAACAGTCACCCCAGGAATTCAGGGTCCTCAAAGCCTGAGGAGACACTATGCTAATACTTCACTGGAATACTTTGTCACTCTACAGCACCTTCCATCCAAGGACCACAGAGTACTTTAATGAATGAATTTGGCCCACGAAAGACCAATAGCACCTAAACAACCTAGGGGAATGAGACGTAGGCTCCTAAAGGACTCAAGAGCTCTGGAAAATGTTACCCATCATCTCCATTTTAGAAACAGGGAAGCTGAAGTCAAGACAGATTAAGTGACTCACCCAAGGCCACACAGGAAACTTATGGTAGAGCCAGGAATAGGATCCAAGTCTCCTGACCGCCAGCCCTGTGCTTTAAATGCAAGCCAATCCTTCCATCCCAATGCCTGTGGTGAGGCCAGCATGACACACAAATGCACAGGCACAAACACCGTCAAGCGAATTTATCTTTAATTCACGGTCTCAGCAAAACAAAAACTGCATTCCAAACTTTTTTTAAACATTAATATATTAATTCAACTTCAAAATAAATACTTTTTTTAAAATACCTATTTCTTTACATCACTGCAATTTTAACAGCAAATCTAGAAAAGTCAGTGCACAAAGAGCAGTAATATGACCTGTTAGCTAGAAAGCTTTCAGGAGATCAAACTAAAAGAAAACAGGAGGTGGGCCTTGTCTTTCGGGCACGTTGCATGCAGTAAACTTCAGCAAGTTTCCTTAGCACATGATCTTTCTGCACACTTGCTTGGAAGAACTGTGCACTGGTCTCCCAAAGGAAATCTACAAATCTGATTTATATATGTCTGCAGGATTCTCCCACAGCTGGTTACTGATCAGTCTCACAGAGGTTCCAAGTACGACAGTGACTGCTACTGAAATCGATATAAAAACGACATTATGGAACAAGCATGCTTGAATCTCTAATGGAGCTGAAAAGCCCATGTGAAAGTGCAAGATTAGTGTTATCATTAAATTCTGGGAGCACTAACCAACAGTACTAATCATCGGTCCAGTGATGAAAAAAAGGAATGTTCTTAAGCCGTTCTACATTGCTTTCTCCTGGATAACCAGCACTGAAGGGCTAGTTCCAAAAATTAAATCCAGCCACAAGTGAACACATTGTTCTACATACTTCTGCTTGGAGTGCCATTGCTATAGTGATGGGAGGTGATTTACAACTGTTGCTAACTCGGAAAGACCAGACTGGCATGTGACCGTTCATCACAGAGCTCAAATCAGCTTGAGTATGCCAAACAAGCCAGGACGTTCAGGAATCAAATCTGTTCTGAAGTGTTGGAGGAGGGCCTCCTGTCAGCGACTAGACAGACGCTGGCTTTGTAACTCGGCACTCCAGAGACCAGGAATCTCAGCACTTGTGTTTCCTTCTGTTGAAGGAAATCTAGGAAACGCAGCCCTCTCGGGGTCAGATTCTGATCTCCCTCCTGGAAAAATGAGCAGTAATGAATTTGATGACTTTACAATGAAGTTAAAACCAACATGAGCGAAGAATCAGGCCCTCAGTCTTTCCAGGGTGCAACAAGACAGTCTTCAGTAACCCACAGGGAATGAAACATAGAACAGAGTCATCATCAGTCTGCGACTCCTTCCCACATGCTCCCAGTTATATTAGCAGAAGAGGATGCAACTGGGAACCATTTTGTGTGGGGTGGGTGGAAGGGGGAACCTCACAACCTCAGGAAAGCAGAGTATGATGATGTTTTATCTCCACCCGGTAAGGGGAAAAATGCTCTCCCATCCAAGTCAAAACAACACACACAATTCCCAAATCCTTCCAGGGTGGAATTTATACAATTATTTCCACACCCACCTCAACTGAACAGTCTAATCACAGCAGTAAGACGCATCACTGGTCAGAAAGTGCAGCTTGCGTTATTGGAAAGGAAAAAATAACCAAGGTGCATTAATGACTAAAAAAGGAATGGTCAGGATTACTGATCTAAGACCCACGTGTCTGTCTTACTGGGAAAGAGACAGCAGGACATTCTAATGCCCCAATAGACCCAAGGTATACGTAGGTGCCACTACACAGCCTTGTAAGGCAAGTCAAACATTTCCTCAAAAGATAAAACCTGACTGAACCAAGATAGGATGCAACAGTGCACTTTGTGGGGGTACAGCAATATTTCAGGTGTCCCTGCTGAGGGAAGTTTCCTAAGCACTGGACAGAAGTGCAATAGGTATCAGTTTCCTTCTGAAGCCCAGAGCTCCCTCTGCAGCCTCCCTCATGCAATTATGGAGCAGATGAAAGCTAGATGAGATGTGCCAGGCTGAAGGGAATTCTCCAGAGTTAAGACACGTCTTGTTTCAGTGTTAGGGATGTTAGCTTTAAAATTGGAACAGTCACCTCATTCAAAAGAGGACTATATTAAGTGTACTGGTGGAGAAGGGATGCAAGGGAAACTGTAATGGATAGTCTAGCTATCACTGGGCACAGGGAAAGCAGGAATTTGACAGCAGGGAGTGACAAACCCTCAGGGTTGCAAGTGATAGTCCAGAACATTTTAAATCTCTTCCTTCACTGTGTGTGTGTGTGTATCTACCTGCCTCGAGGGACGACTATGCCTCCTTAAAGCTGTACACCCCACCCCAAGATTCAGCTAGAAGGAAAATAAGGAAGCAATGCATCATGGAGAGGTTCCTTTTCAGCTTATTGGGTCTTCTTGTCCTCTGGTGGGAAGTAAGGAGGAGGGGGAGGCTGATCCTAAAATAGAGGAGGGGAAAAATATGTAAGGAACATAAATTCACAGCTAGGAAATCAATTAGTTCAAACAAACCCTGCTTCTCCAACAGGAACAATGGCTGTTAACACAATCAATATTGCTGCTTTTAACCCTCTACTACCCGTACATGATCACTATCCAGATTATGAACATTTAATCTAATTTCCTGTGAAATTTACCAGTGGCCCATTCCCCCTAGGGTGCCTCTGCCCCCCTTCATACATGCAACATACAGGTGTTTATTACGTATAGAACAATGCGTGAAACTTACTGTGGGCATGTAGACATTATGAGGGTTGACTGGACTGTAATAAGCACTGGCAGCAGCTTCTGCAGCCTTCGCTTCAGCTATTGCAAGCAAACACAGGTTAAAGATTAGGTGACAATGCAGGGAACTTCTATCATTAAATAAAAGCCCAGCATGTTTCTGCCTACCAGGTATTAGACCAACCCTCAGTTCTGTACCCACCTGATCTACAAAGTGGCAACACCACCACAAAGCTACCTAGTTAGTGGGACCCCTTCAAATGGCAGAGGGTGAAGAATCGAGTCACTATAGTATTGCCCAGTTAGAAACCAGGGAGATCAGCAGGTCCTGTGGGACTCAGCACTGAAGGAGCTATGATATCCTGCCACATCAGCTTGCAGATGCCATCTGGGTTTTGCTCTGTCCATGGAACAAATGCTAACAGCTGCTTTTGAAGACCAGCCGATCACAGGCAATGCTCCCAGAAGGCAATGATCCAAAGATGTTTTGCAATAGAAAAATGACGCTTTAATAGCAGCTGTGGGAAACTCACTCCTTAGAAAAAGCTAATCCACAAGAACAGCCTGGATTGTGCGGCTGCCCCGGACTCTGAAGTCTTGTGTTCAGCCCCATGGACCCACCACCTTTCCAAGTGACAGTCCTGAGCTGAATAGCTATGGATTCAGATTCAAGAGGTGTGCTACACTCACCCCTTCCCCTACCCCCAATTCCTTTAAAGACAAGAGATCCAGTAGTATTAAACATCTCACTTATTTAGCATTCGCTTCATGTGATGTTAGTGTTTGTTCTGCATGAATGTAGTGATTTCACATGGAAGAACTTGAGAAAATGTCCCAAATCACTTTGAGAAACCTCATTTAATTGAAACTACAAGTCTGAGTTTTGTGACCCATTTCTATTATATGCCTCCCATCCAATTTCATCGATTAGGGAAGTATGGGGCAGGTCAGATGGAAGCTGGGCAGCTGAGATTAACAAGGTTTGTTCTGCTTAGTCCTCTGGCTTTCTGATGGGATGTGGCAAACAATGCTAGAGCTGTGCCAAACAAATGCTGCTTAACTCTATGGATTTCTACCATGCTTCACTCATTGTTCCATTTCACCGAATGACAGTCAGACTGATTCCTATTGACCTGCTGCCGTTGAAAGCTCTCCTTTATAAGAGCATTTGTATTCTGAAAAGCGTTCTGTTCTCACAGAGACCTTCTTACTCATCAAATCTACTCCTACATATATCAGAGTCAGATCTACTGACTAATACAAGCTTTGATACTGCTGGGTTTTTTTTTTACTCCTGTTAGCCCTGCAGAATGAACATCACTATTAGAAAACAAACTGGATTCTCTTCCGGCTCATACAGAAACAGAATTGATCCAACTGCAGAATATTTGTTGACGATGAACTTGCTGGAAAGACCCCAGGTTGGCCATCAGACTGAATTGAGTTTGC